CCTTTAGCCATAATGAAAGAAAGGCAGTAATACATGGTAGTCTCCTTGTCTTCCATTCCTTGTATAATAGCCAAGCTACTTCAAAGGTGTTTGCTATAGGTTGTGTCTTGTCTGTTCTAGTTTTGTCTTGTCTTTTCCTATTTTGTTTACATTAAAGGGTGTGTGTTATGCAAGTTTCAGGAGACCTTTCTATGTCACTTATCTCCACCCTTCTGAAAATGTAGCCAGGGAGGACCTGTGTGATCATTCTACTCCTAATAGAAGAATACACTTAAGAGAACCGGGAAGGGGTGAAATAATAAACCTGAACCCCATGAATCCGAGGGCCAATGTTGTATCTCTTGCACTGAGCTATCACTTGCATAGAAGCAAGAGTATGGAAAACTCTTGAAAAAGCCTTGAAAAATCAGCTTCTTCAAACCCACTTCTGAACTGTTGACAGTTCTCCTGGAAAAATAAGTCACGTCAGAAAATGGGAAAAAATCATGGGTTCTTAATAAAACCTGCCAAACTTAAGGGATGTTTATTCTGAAACTTTCATTGATTTAAAAGTATATAGAAAGACACCTTATTGAAAAGTCAGGTTGGAGGACGAAAAACATGGCTCAGTCAGCCAAATGCTTGCTGCCCATGTGTGGGGGCCCGAGTTCAGATCCCCGGTACCCATACGAAAAACTCAATGTAGCCCATATGCACTGGTATTCCTAGTACTGGGGAGGTGAAGGCAGAGGGTTTTGGAAGCTTGCTGACCAGTTCATCTAGTTGAATCAGTGAGCTCCAGGTTCAGGGAGAGACCCTATCTCAAAAACTAAGGTGAGAGTTATAGATCTCTGTCCTGACACGCACATACACAAACACATAAATGAATAAATAAGTAAGTAAAAGTCATGTTGATACTTACCATATATTGAAAACCAGAAGTGTCTCTGTGCATGCGTGTGTGTGTATGCATTTCTCTGTGTGTGTATCACTTGTGTAGAAAAATATAAATCAGTATTTTAGATCAGAACTAGTATTCAGACACCATGTAGAATTTTGGCTGAGATCTTTATATTATTCTCTTTTTTCTTTACTAGATAGAAAGAGAAAACAACTTGGGGGGATCATAATGTCTTTAAATGCAAAATAGCTACAAATCATTTTTAAAACATGGTCTTCGTATTATAAATTAAATGAAATCTGTATTAGAATATTAGACGGCCACCCCATTTTTGCCAACGTGTTTATCCATGGGACACAGATCATGAAGGCAGTGGAGCTTTTCCTACTCCAGAATACATTTTCATTTTGTCTTTCATGCACTCCAGCCGGATGAGTGGGCAGTTATTTTGAAGGTTGACAATCTGCTCCAACTTTCAGAAAACAGGCAAATCCACCAGGAAAGAACAAAAAAGATTTGTGATCCCAGTTCAGAGGATGGAGACTATGTGGGCTTTCGTACTAAAATGACACTTGAGGAAAAAAAAGTCCTAACACTGCTATTTATTGGCATTGTAACCTTGGGGAAGTTGTTGCTGTTGACTGTGCCTTTGTTTCCCCACTTTTAGGATGGGGTAGTGGACACCTCCCCAAGCTGTTGTACTGGTGATTGGTGAGGCCATTAAACACTTAACGTGGTGCCTGACAAGCTTCATGTGTTTTCAATCCTGCATTCCCATGTCCTGTCCCCTCTTCTCCACTGCTCGTGTGTGTGTCTTTGTTGTACTGACTTTTTTTTTTTCTATTCTGAAACAAGTAGACAACTGGCAGACTCTCCTGACTTTTGATAGCTATGGAATCTGTGGTACCACTAACACATCCTGTGTCTGGATCTCATGAGTTAGTTATTCAGCATTACTGGACAAAACAGAGCCTCCTGGATGTTACTAAATGGAAGAACTGTTAGGTGAAATGCCCCATCAATCCCAGATACCTTACCACAAAGCTATGTGCCATTGCTGGAATCTGTTGACCTAGTTACGCCATCTCTAATTCTATTCCAGATAGCCTATAATTAGGATGGTCTGAAATAGCCTGAAAATTCTCAGTGCTAGCATTTATCCCAAAAGGCAAGTCACAAAACCTTCAATACGGCCTTTTCTGAAATTTCCTTTTAAATCAACAGATTTGACAAAATTTTAACATGGAGAGAGATGAGAAGGGAGAAGGAAGGAGGTGATGTAGCTAGAGAGAACTCAGAATGGAAGAGGAGAATGGGAAGAGAGGAGAGAAGAGAGAGGAGAGAGGTGAGGGAGAGGGAAACGTTTCTCATTTTTCTATGTTTCATCAAAATGTAGAGCAAGCTCTTCCCCAAATTCCTTAGCAAGTATCTCAGATCTGTGCGAAAAGGTCGGGAGAGTCACCCCAAAGAAAATAACCCCGAGAAGTAAATAAAACAAGCAAATCTTTATGTCCACACGGTTTCTGCTTTTATGTCTGGGTCTAGTACGAACATAGAATCCCTTCGGAAACAACTAGGCATGAGTATAACAGTATTTTCAACCCCAAATGTCCCCTCCCCTCCCCTCCCACCCCCAGCCCCCACAAATAGAACTTCAGAAACGCAACACCTATCAAATATTTCCTCAGAAATGCCAGATTGCTGGGATTTTCAAGAGTTCTACTTTTTTTTTTCTTCCCTTTTTGACATTTAGACAGATTGAGTCTGAGAGAGGAAGTGACTCCAGCCCAGACTGCCCCGCACCACTGACAGAGGAAATAACTGGAGCAAAATGAAGTGATAATACACTGTAGAATATTTAACAGAGAGAGAAGCAGGGAAAATGGCAATCTGAGAATACACAACTGGGTCCCCGAAATAAACGCAGTGCAAGAGCAACCGCCAACTGCAGTCCATCATGAAATGGTCGAATTACCTTTTGCTCTGCTGTCTGTGTGTTGACATAGGAGCGAGCACTTACAGCCCGATAGTCGGGGGAGCTGGCTCTTTCCCCCCAGTTTCTGGTATCATTTGTCACAGAGCCCGCCAGCTTCCCTCTCTACCCCTTTCTGTCTACTCATCGGCAAGAGAGCTAGTAAGTGACCATCTTAATGACTGCTGCCTCCTGTGGTGCCAGGCCTGACAGAGAAAGTACAACCCTAGGCCCTTATGTCACAGCGTGAATGAAATCCGAAAGTCCAAGGGAGGATATTAGCAAGGCTCTTTCCATTCTGGAGAAGACTCAAGGTGACTGGGGACATTGAGATTTTCTGCCCAAGGAAAGATTTGATAAATAGGGTGGTGAAGGAAAACCACAGCCCCCTTCTGAGAGTTTAATGAGAAAACTGCCGCCTCCTGGGGACTGGAGAGAGAGTGCTGAGGTGGTATCCTCCCATCATGCAAAAGTGGAAACTTCGCCAAGACAAGCTTTCTCCATCCCCTGAAAACTTCAGAGAAAGGAGAGTTGCTTGGAATGGGGGATTGTTTTAAAGATTCTACCACCCCTTATTCACAAACGGGTGGAGTCTGGCATGTGAGGAAGGCCAGTGTGTCCTTTCCTTTATGTGGGTGGTTGAAAGCCCTCTCTTTGCTCTGCTGGCAAATTTCCTTTCCGTCTTTGGGCTGAGGCCTACTGGAGTAGGACTCCACTACCCACTAAGCCTGAGACCATCACCAAGATTGAGGCTAGGGGAATGTTCCATCCTCGCTCTCATTCTCCCTTAATTCTTCTCTCACTCTCTTACCTTTCTTTTTTCCTTCTATCCTTTCTTCTTTGTCTTCATTTCAATTCATGGATGACCTTTAAAATCTTACAGCACAGAAAAGCCAAAATCAGGTTCCAGAGGTTTAAGTGGAGAAATGATTTGGGAAACATTACAAGTGATGGCCAACAGAATCAGCCACAAGGTTTTCCTGGGATAATGATCCACTGAAGAACATGCATACATACAGTGGAGAGTTTTTCCTTGTAAAATAAACTAATTAGGCCTGCTTCTTAGACACCAAAAATGAAGTGACTTTAAGCCCTGGGTCAAGTTCCTTCAGCTGTGTGAATGTCATCAATGAAACGGTGATCATAATTTGCAGTGATGAGATACTAAGATGTGGGGGACAGAGTAGAATTGGAAGATGGTTCTCTCAAAGTTCCTCTTAAAATTTTGCAGTTCTTGAGACACATTCGTTCAGTCACTGTGATAAAAAACAAAATAACAAAAAAAAAAAAAAACAAGGGGGTGTGTAGGCTAGAGAGAAGGCTCTGCTACTAGAGGCCCTTGCAGATCTTGTAGATGACCCTGGCTCCATTTCCCACACGACAACTCCTACCACTTTTAGAATGTTCACCTCAGGGGGTCCAATCCTCCTCCCTTCCAGCCTGGAGATCCTGCACACATGTGTAAATAAACACTCACCCAGGCAAACACGTATTCATATCAAGTAAATGTAAAAATCTGTTCTGATGCTGAAGAAAAGGCTTTGCGGTTAAGAGCACTTGCTGTTCCCACAGTGAGTCTGGGTTGGTTTCCAGAACCCCTGTCAACTAGCTCACAACCGCCTGCAATTCCAACTCTAGAGATCCATCTCCCTCTTCGAAACGTCCGCGTTTTCACAGACACATGACGTGGGAGTCCCCTCTGTGTGCTGTGATTACCATTAATGAATAAAGAAACTGCTTTGGACCTATAGCAGGGCAGAAGTTAGGTAGGCGGGGAAAAACTAAGTTCAAAGCTGGGAGGAAGAAGGGCAGAGTCAAAGCCAGATGCCATGGAGCCACCACCAGAGTCAGACATGTCAAAGCTTTAGCACGTAAACCACAGCCACATGGCAATACACAGATCAATAGGAATGGGTTAAAATAAGAGTTAGCCAATAGGAAGCTAGAACTAATGGGCCAAGTAGTGACTTAGTTAATACAGTTTCTGTGTGATTATTTTGGGTCTATGCTAGCTGGATGGCCGGAACAAACAAGTGTCCTCCTTCCAACACACACACACACACACACACACACACACACGACATTTACACATACTACACACAGAAACACAATTCACATAAAAGATAGCAAGCATTCTTGCTTCTGCACCATAATGCTCACTTTATCATATACTAAAATTGGAAGGATACAAAGAAGATTAGCATGGCTGCTGCTCAAGGATGAAATGCAAATTCATGAAATGTTCCATATTTTAAAATAAAATAAAATAAAAATAACCAGCTACAACAAATTTTCCCTCTCAAAAAGTTTGCAAACAGAGTATCACATTATTTCTTAAAATTATTCTAGTTACATGTTACTTAATAAGTTGAAACATTTTTATTTCATAATCACAAGGATTTAAAAATATTGATGAAAATTATTTGGAATATCCACTTAAACATTAACATAAAATATTTATGATGCAGTAATATATGTAATATCAAATACATGATTTGAATTATCTTTCATAGATGGGCATATTAATAAGTTTAAATGAACTGTTAGTATGAAACAGCCATTTTTATTAGGAGTTAAAGTTATTTTTTTGAATTCAGGAAAAACATTGGAAATTTTAAGAAGAAGTCTTATTGATCATTGAATAAAATTACTTTTAACACTTTAATTTATATTGTTTTCTTCTATTTTATCTTATAAATTCGTCATTTTAAAAGTTTCAGTTTTAATTATAGTGCTTACATTATTTATCATTGGTAATTATAAGTGTAGGTCTCCTTTATTTAATATCTATAAGGTACCAGACATGCGTTCTATATTTAATTCTTAATTTAATCTTCTAAGGAAGATGAAGAAATCCCTATTCAAACATTCTAAAAATGGGATAACCCTAAGTGCCAAAGCTGACTTTGAACTCAAGCTTGCTTCTCTCCAGTTCTGTCTTTCCAACCTGATAGTTCTTAGCCTTAACACACGGTGTCTATGACATTGCGTCTTTGTGCATTTTCTACCTTAAGATGATAAAAAAAAAAAAACAAGTTTCAACACAAGAGTACTATAACGGTAAATTGTAAATTTTAACTAAAAATCAACCTTTTCCTTTTTTGGCTAATGAAAACAGTCCTGGTTTGTGCCAGTGGTGAAAACAGACACTATTTGCTTTGAGAGCCCTAAATTTTTTGGTTAGTTCTACATCTTGCATATTGTTATGATTTTCATTTTGATGAGGTTGTAAGATCTTGTCGTGGTATTATTCCCTTGTGCTCTGTTCTGGGACATTAATTATATGAAAATAGAACTATTTCCCCATACAAAGGAAAGGTATGGGACAAGAGAGACTGACTGACAGTCTCAATGACTCTACTTCTGCCTGCTACATAGGGCACTGTTTGAACTTGTAGCGATTAGCTGGCATGAGCAGTATCAAAAGCATACTCCATGGATGAGAGAGAGGAGAGCAGTTCCCGCGATTACCCTGGCAATTGCCCATCTGCTTCAGAAGGAAGTGTTTAACCTGCAGGTAATTATGGGGAAATAGTTTGATAGTTTTAAATTTTTTTCCGGGGGGGGGGCAGAGTTGGAATGGGAGTGGCTAACTGTGCAGACTTGCAGCTTCCCCGACAGCTCCATGGCATCACAGACAAAGCCAGTACAATTTTGAACATCTTCTCACAAGACAAACCAGGAGAAGGGTGCCATTCAATGAAATAAATTAATACAGACTCCAAACTCTAGCATTTCCTTAAATAGATGGAGTAGCATCCGATGAAATATATAGTGTGTCACCCCTTCGTATTCCTCCATTCCTTTCAGAATCACTCAATCATGATTACTGCAAAAGGCTTCATTTGGAAATTTTTACTTATATGTTATTTAATACTTCATTTACATGTTACCTTGTATGCTATTCATATGTTTTTATGCCTTCTGAACTTGTCTATTTTTCAGGGTTACAGTAAAAGCCTATGTAGCTTGAAAGAAGGGTGGTCCTGTCAATTAGATTTCTCCCTTATTATGTGGCAAGATATTGGCATATAAATTTTCTGGTTGCTGCAGCCATGTCAATAGATTCATAGTCTAAGTCAGTCAGTTATGGACAAATTTCATGTTCAAATGTTTCTTTGCTTTTATTATTAAGAGTTTCTTTATGATACAACCTCCAATTTATTTCCTGACAAATGATTAAATTAAAAAAAGAAAACTGTGTCTTCCCAGCAAGAACATTTAAGCAGCCATGCTGCATCTGCAATGTCTGGCTTCCCATTAGTTCCTTATGGGAACTTGACTATCCCAGAATCTAAAAAACTAGGGATTTTAGAAGCAGTGAATTCCTCTGCCACTTTTTAACAGTTTCAGTAAATCCAAAATCAACACATGCCATGGAGATAGTTTATAAATTATTAATATTAACCTACTCATTCATTTAGCAAATGCTATATTTTTAAGTGGCTTACAATGTTCAAAAAACTGTTCTGAGTTAGTATGGATGATTCAGTGAATGACAATAAGACACAATATAAGGAAACAAAAATGTTCCCTGCTCTCAAATAGTTCACATAGTTGTGGGACAAAAAAGAAATCTGCAGAAAGAACACATAGCAAAATAGAAATAAATGCTAAGGAAAAATCAGAAAAAGGCAAATGTGCATGACGAAGAGGATGTTGGGATTAAAGACCTCGAAGAAGATTGGAAGTAAGTGACTGCTCTATCTACAGGAAAACTGTCACAGAGAAGCACTGTCTGGTACAGTTGTCATTAGCTATACTGTGTAATACAGCTATGGAAACTCACCATCACATAGAAGGTAAATGATGCTGTCTCAAAGGAAAGATAAGACAAATCTAAAGTTTCGAAAGAGGGGAGCAAGAGAAGCAGCACAGAAGTGAGTGTAAGGAATGTATGGAGGAGAATTAACAAGGACCAGGGTCTTAGAACCACTCTGGAGTTTTAAGACATCCCTTGAGAGAGATGGGAAACCTTGGGAATGCTGAGTGGAAGGGTGCTCTAGTCCGATTTGCTCTATGTCAAGGTCACTCTGACTGCTGTTTTGAGAATGAAGTAAAAGAGCCAAGAGCATGAGTCCAGAGACCACTGCAATCATCCAGGGCAAGGGAGTGAGAGTTTGGAGCAGTACTTATCAGAGTACAAAGTTGTAGATTAAGTTCTCGATAAGATACTGCAGCAAGAGAAAGGCATAAAAACCACCTAGAGATTGTTTCATACCACAGAGTCTGGAAAACCATGCCAAGATGTTAGGGTTTGACTGCCTGAACTAGACAGCATGTGTGAATATCTGTTTCTCCTCCCTGTATCAGTTCTGATGCTTGCACTCCATCTTGTCCTCCAGCATGTACTAACTGCAGTCCCTAAAAGCTGGGACATAAATTTTGATGCTGCATAATATTGATGGTGTAACTGCTTAACACTGAATGGGAGAGATAGAGCAATACAGTCATCATGTAGGACAATAAATATCCTCCAACTGATTTCTTCCGTACTATTATTTAGGATACAGTACGTGACAGGGGTTTTTATTGGTGGGCAGTTCTACTTATGGAGGTTATGAATACCATAGAGTTGAGCTAGAAGGTACACAATAGCTGTGATAGACACATAAAATGCCAATTCTGCTGCTTTATCTACAGCATTTCACTTGCCATTCAGCAATCAGATCATGAATCTACACCTATTACCAGAACAAATTCTTCAAAGTTCTGTAGCCGACGGAGTGAGAATTGACTTCATGAAGAGTACAATCCGCAACTTTCATGAGACGACTTTTGTGTTCATGAGACAAACACTTATAAAATGAACAAATATTGGATCTGGAGATAACTGATCAGTTAAGGGCACTGACTGCTCTCCCAGGAGATCCAGATTCCTAGCACTGATGTGGCGGCTCACAACCATCTGTATCTCAACTCCCAAGCGTTGACATCTTCCTCCATCCCTCACAAGGCCAGGTAAGCATGCGGTACATAAACACATACAAGAAGGCAAAACCCAAGAAAGATCCCATAATCCTTTACTCCCTGACTACAAAGCCAGCATCCTGTGGACAACACAGCCAAGTTAAGCTGCCATTTGGGATGACTCCTAGGCCGTACTTGAAATACTGAAGAAGCATGGAGGCCAGCATGTGCTTTGATATACTAAGAGGCACCACAGATACTGTCACTGAAACCAGGACCACCTGACCAAGGGTGGCACCGCTCACAATGGACTTGGCCTTCTCCCCATCAATCACCAATCAAGAAAATAACCTATGGGATTGCCTACAGCCTGATCTTAGGGAAGCATTTCCTTAGTTGAGGATCTCTTCTCTCAGATGTCTGTAGTTTATATCAAGTTGACTTAAAAATTAGTCTGCACCAGTGTCTCAGTTAGAGCTTCTATAGCTGTAATAAAACACCACGAACAAAAGTAAAAAAAAAAAAAAAAAAAAAGAAGGCAAAACCCCCATACACGTAAAATTTTTAATATTTTTTTTTCTCGAGACAGGGTTTCTCTGTGGCTTTGGAGCCTTCATGGAACTAGCTCTGTAGACCAGGCTGGCCTCGAACTCACAGAGCCCTGCCTGCCTCTGCCTCCCAAGTGCTGGGATTAAAGGCGTGTGCCACCATCGCCCGGCAAATTTTTAATATTTTAACTGAACAAATATAAACATTTATGGGTTTGAGGTAAGGCAAATGCATTTTGCCCTTTCATATTTTAAATAACCCCAGGTAAGAATTTCCTTCATTGTTTGTCTGGTTCCCAGTTTCTCTTCACTGCTGAGGAAGGCAAAAACTGGGGCTCAAGTTCAAGGGACTGTGCATTAAGGCCAAGAAAAGGGAAGCTCAATCAGGCTGACAATTTGACTGTGTGATATTGTATTGTACTGCTGTGCTTATATAACTAAGAAGAAAGCGCATTTAATTTTCACATAAATCAAGTAGCCAATAATACAGGAAAGGAAACCTTATCTTTTCTTCAGGTTTATCCACAAATAGGTAAAGGACAGCATGAAAATTCTCAAATTCTCTCTTTTGATAGCATTGTTCTAAAATCTTACGAGACATAATGTGTTCTGTCGTTTTAAATACTACCCTAAATACAAACTCAATAAATTAAACTCATTTTACTTGCAATCACTTCAACAAGCATTAGTTGATAAGATCTCTTCCCTCTTGGCAGAAAATACTGGGGAAAAAAATTCTCCTGAAAGTTCCAGATTGTACTCTTCATGAAGTCAGTTCTCACTCCATCAAATAAAA